GGGAACCAAAGGTGTTCTGGACGGGCAGCTGGGCCCTGCCTTCTGGTACATGGGCATGCCTTCCCTTCAGTCTTTTACCTGAAGCAACCCTGTCTCTCCTGAATTCTAGTCCATTTCATCTCTCCCGAGATATCCTTCCATGGTTAGCTTGTGGGCAACTTTTAGTAAGGCCCTTTGGTACCATGAGGACACCAGTAGCTGTTTCACCTCCTCTCCTATTCCCGTCCCCCATCCTATAAAGGAGGTTATCCCATACCTTGAATCTCAGGGTTGTCTCCATCAAGTCTGGATGCAACACCTCTCCATTACACTGGGCCAAGTGCTAACAGAACACATGCCGAAATCCCTCCTCCTGGCTTTGTTCCACTTGAAAATGTTTGTCTTCCAGAAGGGCATCAATATCCACTATCGGTGTCAAGTCAAGGATTTTCCTGACTAACCTCTCCACTCAGGGTCCTTGAACCTCCTCCCTTTCTCCAAAACCACCTCTTATTCCTTTCCACAAATCACCAGTTGAATTCAAAGGGAGAAAGCACGCCAGCTGTAAAATAAATTTAACCTACTCTAGGTATAGCAAATGACCATGATAGCCTGCTATCTTGCAGCAAGACCTCCCCCTACCCAGGACTGTATTCCTTCGTAAGGGACAAGTATTCTGCTGGTAGTCCTTGGAGCAGCTCTGAAGTAAACCTAGCATAAAGCTCCTCATCCCCTAACTTGCAAGGCTAGACTCCCTGGTTTGGCTGAGCTCCAGGCTTATATGTGGCTCAAGCCCTGCCCACCTTTGGTCAGGTGCCCTGTCAGCTGACCCACCCCCAGGGCTGTTAATTAACCTCAGTCTTGCTGGCTGCCTTTGGCTGGTTCACAAAAACCTTCCCTTAAAGGGCCAGTCCACTTTTTTTTAACAGGGTAATGCTTCCCTGTTATCCCTGCCAATCTGGATTGCCTGCCTGGGCAGCTGCCCTTTGGCCCAATTTAGAACTGGCCCCAAATAACTGCTGACACCAATGGCGACTTTGCCTTCTAAGGGCTTAACTGCTGGAATCTGCGTTTGCCCTGTGAGTGATGATGATTTCCCTGTTTGTTGTCCCATCTGCTCTCCCTCCCATTCCTGATGTGGCTCTGACAACCCCGCAGCATGCGGCGCATATACATGATCAACAAGGAGGTGTGCTCTCGCATCATCTGCAAGGAGAATGAAGTCATGCAAGGTGAGAGGTTGGGGTGGGGCAGAGGTCTCTGTGGAGGGGGAATGGCCTTATCCCTGTCTGCTCTGCTGCATATGAGCCACTGAACAGAACAGGAGTAGGCAAAATACACACCGTAGGAGACCTGCCCGGGACCCCCTGCAGACAGAGCATGTTCAGCTGGGCAGATGTGGATGGGGCCGTGGGGCAGGTGAGGATCAGCATCTGGTGAGGCCCCACACCCCCCACCCACAACAACTCATCCTAACTCCTCAAGTGGTCTCCAGCCCAAATATTTGCCCACCCCTGGAATAGTCTGCCAGGGACATTTCTAATTGGGTGATCCAGAGGCTTCTGTGATGTTGTCGTGGGAGAAGCTGGCCTTCAAGGAATCTGGGACTCAGCTTCCAGCCTTCCCACCAGTGCTTTCACCTGCCCACTGACCTTAGCTCCTTAGCAGGTAACAGTCTGGTGGACCCCACTCCTGTCCTCTGATCTTGGGACTTCATCCCAGTAGCCTAGACTGCCCTGCCCTCAGAGAGGGACCTGCTGCAATGTCCTGTTTATACAATCATGCCTTTCCCTTTGTCCTCCCTCTACCCCGGTGACAATCTGTCCCTTGGATATAGTCTAATCCCCTCAAGTCACTGTTCTTGAGCACATCTCCAATCCAGAAGCACATGACTGACAGGCCCGCCCCCATCCTGGCCCTACATCCAGCATCTGCTTCCAGGTGTTCTGTCATCTGTCAAGCTGCCCTGGGATATCGCACCATGTTTCCATCAACTTGGCTGCTCCAGGCAACCCTCTGGAGCTGGAATATGGGTCTGACTACTGAGTCTGCTGGAGGCCAGGCCTCGGGGATTGTAGACTCTTCTCTGCTGACAGTTCAGGTCCCAGGGCTTGGTTTGATCTCTTACAAAGATAGGAAGCAGCTGCAAAATCCAGCCATGGGTCCGGGTCTTATCTACCCTGGGGACTTGTCATCACCACTGCAATATTAGCAGGTCAGGATCCAAATATAATTCATTTGAGCAAGTTCTTGCAATAGGTTTTAAAGGCTCTTTACACAGAATTTCCATGGTGTTCCCATAAATAAGGGATCAAATTGTTTAAATTCTGGGCAAGTTCTTACTCCAGAGCAAGCTGGATAAATCTACCTAAAACTCTCTGAGGGTAAAAGAGTAGCCCATGGCTTTCCCAGAACCTAGCCCATAGTTTTATCCCAGTCTTTATTCTGACTAGGCTCCTGGCAATATCAGCATATATTGCATCAGAGTGATGGCAGAATGAGCTTTAGATGAAGGCCTTGGGGTCTGCTCCCTATCTCTTTCTGACCCAGACCTGTGGATATGAGCAATGCAGATCTGTAAGGTCTTCTGATTTTCATGCTGAGACCCTAACTTGATCTGTGCGTGTGTCTGCTCTGTCCTCAGAGGAGCTCTGCCGCCAGCTGGCTGGTCTCCCACCACGACGCCTCCGCCGTTCCGGACGGCCCCTGGGCCCTCCCTGTCACCTGCCCCAGGACCAGCAGCTGTGGAAGCTCAATGCTGTTTGAGCCATCACTGCTAGGGGAAAGAGGAGGGTAGGGAGGAAGGAAGAGATGCCCTTGCCCCACCCAGACCATCCACTGCGTACCCCGAAAAGAAGCTCCCTGGCCTGCTGCAACGGCAGCCCCCACCCTCCTCCCCAGGTGCTGCCACATGGAGTCTCCTCCCTGCTGGCCACTGGTGGCGGCTGCCATCACTTCTCAGGTCAGATGTGGAGAGAGCTGGGTCCTCACACCTCTCATCCCATGCTTGATCTCGCAAGCTGTGAGCTGCTCATTCCCCAGAGGTCCTTATTAAATGCACTTCTGCTCCAGCAGTGCCTCTCCATTTTTGGGTGTATTTTTCAATGACCAGGGGAAACTGCTTTGCTCTCATGGGGCCCTCAGTTCACTCTTGCATTACAACCCTCAGATACCTGCTACCTACAGGGAGAAGCTGTAGCACCTCCCATATAGGGGAAGATACCCCATGTGGTGGCTGATTTGGCCTATATAGGGGCAGGATGTACAGGGGCTGAATTTCTCTAGTAAGAGCCACTCTGCAGAGGAATGTTTCAAGGTGTACAAGGGGGTGGAGCTCCACCCTATACACAGGCATACTTTTCCTATGGAGAGTGCAGCCTTTTTCTCTGGGAAGAGAGGGCCTGTAAGAATTGATCTGGCTTTCCATTTGAGTCAATGGCAACTTTCCCACTGACTCCTGTGGTGAAGGATCGGTGTCTTGTAGAGGTTCTAGCACAAGCGGAGGAGGGTGGGGTGGAAATCAGATATTAGAAGGAGCTCTTGGAAATCGAATGAGACCAAGTCTCCACTCTGCATATAGAACCAAATGTAAACGTATATAGGTTCAGAAATATATTGCATAGGTGCTGTCCAGCATATAGAAATCTAGGACTCAAAACAATCTGAAGAAGTGAGTTGGGAACCTATTCTGCTGCTTGAATCTGTAGTGAAAGGAGTCCCCTGGGAGACATTGTCTGAACACTAGAGTCCATATACTGCACATGAAAAACCATTAAAAGAAAACTTTATTTCCTGTTATTCTTAGCAACTCTCATGTGTTTGGATTTATTTGTCTCTGGCTTTCATTTTATCTAATCCTGACCTATAGGTTGTCCTGGGTTCCCCACACAGCTCTGCCCATACCCCTCACTCCTGCCCTGCAGACCCTTCCTCTCTGCAGCTCTGAGAAACCCATTCATCATTAAGAATGTACTGTACCTTGCTGATGATGATGTCCCATAGTCCAGCTGAAGAAAGGGAGGGAGTGTCACACACCCTTTCACAGTCTGGGCAGAAGTCCCTGAGCCATTCCAGATGGCTTTCAGGGGAGTGCATATAAGCACAGTTCCAGCCAGCCCTGGTTCTCTTGAGGTTGGGTTGTACACAGTGAGAAGTGCCAGAACAACAATTAAGCAGGTCTCCCAGAGCTCTTAGCTGATTTGTTTTCAAGCTGGAATAACAGGGTGTGATTTAGGACCAGAGGTTGGATACCCACCTCCTGCAAGCCAGCTGAATTTGCTCATCCTTCCCCTGAGGTCATTGGATGCCACTGATTAACAAACCCAAAGGTAAAACTGCTAGGTTATGAACTGTGGCATCTCATTCCCCCCATGAAGCAGCTGCAACACTTTGCCCTGCAGAGGGAACCAGTGTCAGTAGTACAGCCATCGCTGGAAGGAAGCCATGGCTTTTTTCTGCTGGCATTGATGCCAGCTGGACTCTTCTCTTCTACCCTGAAGAACTCCAGGATTCCCATTTTCCCTTCTCCTTGTGTATCTATCGCTCACTCTCTGTCACCCCCCTCTCCTTTGTTCTGTCTCTGACGTTTTTATTCCAGAACTGGCTGAGAGAAAAATGGGGAGAAGAGGAGGAGAATGGGCTGGTGAGGGTGGCAAACCTTGTCTTGGGACAGGCCTAGAGCAGTGCTTGGCCAATGCTACTGCTCTTTTCATAGACTTCAAAGATTTCATAGACATTAGGGCTGGAAGGGATCTTGGAATATCATCGAGTCCAGCCCCCTGCCCCAGGGGCAGGAAGTCAACAGGGATCATAGGATCCCAGCAAGATAAACATCCAGGTTTCTCTTGAAGGCGTTCAAAGTAGGTGCTTGAACCACCTCCGGCGGCAGGCTATTCCAGACTTTGGGGGCTCGGACAGTAAAGAAGTTCTTCCTTATGTCCAGCCTGAAATGGTCTTGCAGGAGTTTATAACTGTTCGACCTCATCATCCCTTGGGGTGCTCTGGTGAACAGATGTTCCCGCAGATCCTGGTGAACCCCCGTTATAAACTTATAGGTGGCCACCAGATCACCCCTGAGCCTGCGCTTTTCCAGGCTGAAGAGTTCCATGGCTCTCAGCCTCTCGTCATAAGGTCTGTTATCCTGACCTCTGATCATGCGCATGGCTCTTCTCTGGACTCTCTCAAGCTTCTCCACATTCTTTTTGAATTGTGGAGCCCAAAACTGGACGCAGTACTCCAGCTGCGGCCTCAGCAAGGCCGAGTACAATGGGAGAATAACGTCCTGAGATTTGCTTGAGAAGCATCTATGGATGCAAGCCAGTGTTTTGCTCACTTTAATAGCTGTGGCATCACATTGAAGGCTCATGTTCATCTTGTGGTCAATCCTGACCCCCAAGTCCCTCTCGTCCACAGTGCTAGCCAGTGTAGCACTGCCGAGCCTATAAACATGCTGCAGGTTTTTCCTCCCAAGGTGGAGAACCTTGCATTTTTCAGTGTTAAACACCATCAGGTTCTTGTCCGTCAATTTCATGAGCCTGTCAAGGTCAGCCTGGATTACCCCGCCTGTCTTCAGGTATGGATGCTTTACCCCAAAGTTTGGTATCATCGGCAAACTTGGCCAGTCCGCATTTGACACCAATGTCCACATCATTCATGAAGAGGTTGAACAAAATAGGTCAAAGGACAGAGCCTTGAGGGATCCCACTGGTCACAGGGCACCATGACGATTGACTTCCATCAACCACCACCCTCTGGGTCCAACCACGGAGCCAATTACCCAGCCAGTGGATCGTGGTGAGGCCCAAGGCGGCAGTTGGCCAGTTTTGCCAAGAGGCGATCATGGGATACCAGATCAAAGGCTTTTTTAAAGTCAAGATATATGACATCAATCTCCTCCCCCTTGTTCAGGTGATAGGTCACCTGGTCATAAAAGGAAATGAGATTGGTCAAGCCTACCTGCAACAAACCCTCAGGATGTTGCCACTGATCAGTCTGTTAAGAATGGCCTCTTTGATAATCTTTTTCTAAGACCTTTCCCAGGATAGAGGTCAAGCTGATGGGCCTGTAGTTTGCTGGATCCACTTTCCTCCCTTTCTTGAAGATAGGCACCACATTGGCCTTCTTCCAATCATCAGGCACTTCACCAGAGCGCCAGGACCTATCAAGGATCCATGCCAGGGGCTGAGCTATGATGCAGGCCAGCTCCTTGAGTACCCTGAGGTACTCATGAGCTATAATGCAGGCCAGCTCCTTGAGTACCCTGCGGCATTGACCTCCACAATGCAGTGGCTTCCACTCCAGTGGGTAGAAAACAATGGCAAAGGGCACTGGCTCTGCTGGACCTGTTGTACAGCTCCTTTGATCCATATCTGTAACAGGCTAAGAGTTACCATAACCTGTCGCTGCCGAGAGCCGCGGCACAGGGTTCGGGGCCTTAGGAGCCCTAGTCGGCGGGCGGGTACTTGTGACGCTTGGAGTGGAATCAGGTACTCAAGCGTTTTGATTAAACAAAAAGGTTGTTTACTTACACTGCTCGTACAGTGCAGGTCAGAAGCTTGCTTCGATTACAGTTACAAAACTTGGGTCGGGCAGAAATGACAAAGTTCATTGGTCGGTCTGCAAATGTGTTCGGGGTGTTCGGGCCGGCAGTCATCTTACGTCTCGGGTGGGGGTGTGCTAGGCCCCCTTGGGTCGGTGATGGGGAGTCCTTAGTGGTTGATCAGGCCGCTAAGTTCGCTCTAAGACACACGCATGGAGTTTGCTAGGCTCCACAGTGTACTCAGAGTTCTCCACGAGGTGTGTATGGAGTTCTCCAACTTGGGCGGAAACTGCTTCAACCTCTTATACGGCTAGCAAGCCAATCGCTAGTCGCCACGTAGGAATAATTTAAAACTGGCCAATAATAATGTGAATTTGCATATGAGTGGCGGGAACTTTTTTCTAAACTGTAATTTTCCACTATTGTAGCATTTGGTTACTGGGTTCAGGCATAGCAGAATTTTCCTCCATGATCTAGTTACTGCCACCAGAATGACTGACAGCAAAACTATGCCATATGTATCGAACCCATGGAATTTTCCTCTGTGCTATACCAATTCTCCTCTGGGCTATACCAATTCTCCTCTGTGCTATAGGCATCTAATTAATGGGTTCTGACAAACCTTGCTCAGAAAATAAATGATAATTGCACAAAGCCATACAGGCATTGCTGAGTTTCAGGATATACTCCCTGCATTGGTTGTGTGTGGTATATGACCCGCACACTTGTCAAAGCATGTGCTCTGCTTGTACTTCTTTGCAAGAGATTGAAGCAAAACACTGCAAGGTGTTGTGGTGGTGTGTGTGCATGCATTGCACTGGGATGTGGGAGATGTGGGTTCCAATCCTGGCTCTTACATTTTTCAATAGCAAAATATTTAAAGTGAATTGTGAAATGATGATCTTAAGATTCATAGATGTTAGGGTCACAAGGGACCTCAGTAGGTCATGGAGTCTGACCCCCTGCCCTGGGCAGGAAAGAGCACTGGGGTCAGACAACCCCAGCTAGGTGCTTGTCCAGTCTCCTCTTGAAGACCCACAAGGTAGAGGAAAGCACCACCTCCCTTGGAAGCCCATTCCAGATTCTGGCAACCCTGACTGTGAAGAAGTTCTTTCTAATGTCCAACCTAAATCTGCTCTCTGTCACTTTGTGGCCATTGTTCCTAGTTTCTCCAGGGGGTGCTCTAGTAAATAGAGCATCTCCTATTCCCTGCTGCCCTCCCCTGATGAATTTATAGGCAGCTGCAAGATCACCTCTCAGCCTTCTCTTGCGAAGGCTGAAGAGATCTAGGTCCCTCAGTCTCTCCTCGTAGGGCCTTGCCTGCAGGCCTCTGACCATACAAGTGGCCTTCTCTGAACCCTCTCAAGATTCTCCGCATATCTCTCTCCAAAACTGGATGCAGTACTCCACCTGCGCCCTGACCAGTGCTGGATAGAGGGGAAGCATCACCTCCCTGCACCTGTTCATCAAGCAACTATTAATGCATGATAAAGTGTGGTTAGCCTTGTTGATCACTTTGTCACATTGATGACTCATGTTCATCTTGGAGTCAACTATGACTCCAAGATTCCTTTCCACTGCTGTGCTTAAGGTCTGATTGGACTTTCAAAAAACCTTTCAACAAGGTCTCTTACCAAAAGCTTTAGAAAAACTGAATAGCCACAGGATTGGAGGGAAGCTTGTTTCATGGACTGAGAGTGGGTTAAAAGATAGGAAGCAAAGGGTAGGGCTAAATGGTCACATTCAGGATTGAGGAAGGTCAGAAGGAGGTCATGCAGAGATCTGTGCTGGGGCCTATTTTGTTCAACATTTTCTTCAATGATATGGAAATGGGGCGGGGAGGACAATAAATCTCCTAGTTTGCAGATGATACCAAATTATTCTGGGTAGCCAAATCCCATACTAACAGAGAGGAGCTGCAGAAAGACCTCACCAAGCTAAGTGACTGGGCAAAAAGTGGCAGATGAACTTCAGTTTTGACAAGTGCAAGGTAATGCATGTGGGGAAAAATAACCTCAAGTATACTTACACATCAACACAAGCTGCTGACTGTGCAGCAGCTAAGAAATATTGTGCAGTAGCACGTCACAGCACAGCCGGTGCTAATACACTACTGCATAGTAGCATCACCTAAAAGACGTTTGCCAGTGCTACTGTGCAGTAACTCTGGTTACTGTGCATTTACTTAGTACTTGCTAATGCAAGTACTAAATAAATGCCCAGTCATGATTGTGCAGCAGTGTCTTGTGTAGATGCACCCAATGCTGGGT